GGGAAGGCTTCTTGGACTGTTTGGACGCAGGGGGATCAGGAATGTTTTCAGGTAAAGAATCCAAGACGTGAAATGTTCGTACCATTATGATTCTGCCACGGTGGCCTTTAAGCTTAGGGATCACATTTCAACTGCAAGGTAATTTTGTTATTGTTCTAAGGAATGAATAATAATTTCACGTTCCACATATATTATCCATTCGTGGATTTACCTGAAGCCAGGCAACGGCGTTGCGGTGCCGGCGGGAGGAATTCTGAAAGAGTCTTATTAGTGCTGCGCAGTATTTCTCTAGTGCGTGTGATATCCAGATTAGGATGGCGGCCCATCCCGTCTCCCCTCCAACCAAGTGGACAGAATAAAAATAAAAATAAATTCAACCTTCGTCCTTCCACCCATGTCGCACGCGCACCATCGTAAAAGTATGTCGAAGGGCTCGTCGAGCAGCAGGGGGTGCTGTTCAAGCCCACCGGATTTATAAGTTGAGTAGTAAGGCTCCCCGTCCCCTCCAAGTCAAGTCGATAACAATTTTTTCTGGAGTCGCTCGCTTTCAACAGATGAATCCACGGTCTAATGGCAGAGAGGATATTGCTCTCGCACTCGACGCGCTAGTAGATGGAGATGCAACCGGACCAATGCCACCCGTCTTCGTCAAGCGACGTATGCACATCTGGAGGTGTTTAAACTCGCACATCGCACACCACGTATTCAACAAGCCGATTTGGCCATTAATTTCTGAAAGAGGTGATTAAAGGTAGCAGGGAATACAGGCCCGATTATGCGTCGCACCTTTCGTGTCGCGTGCTCTGGAACTATTCCAAAGTCTGAACAAACTTTCCGGCTCCGCTCCATTCCCCTGCAAACCTCGAGAGTACGGAAAAGCCTGATCGCGGGAATCGGCTGTCCGCGCTGGCGTTTCGAATCCACCACGTCCTCGAGGGCATTCCGCACCACGTCGAACATATCCTCCTTCGGCCACGCTGCGAATACGGGCCTAGGATGTCGTCGATGAACTCTCGCGTGAAGCATTGGTTGCCCAACGTTAGCGAAGAGAGGGCGGGGGAGATGAGATTGTGCTCGAGAAGGGGATATCCGATTCACCTGTACACGAATCAGTGTTGATGAAGGACAAGGAGGTCAAGGCAGGGAAGGACGAGTGAGGGAAACTCGTCGCATTGAAGAAGGAAAATATCTGGTCGCCGTGGGTGCCGTCGATGATGAATTCGGTCAACGCGGGGGTGTCGAAAAGATCGATCATCTCCAATAGACTCGGATAAGCCTCGTCTTCGCCATCCATGACTACGATGTGGAGGAATTGCAGAGCAGGGAGGTCGAACCGGCGCGCCGATGTGGGAGAGATATAGCTCAGATCGAGGTGTAGATAGAGGCATTGTGTCGCGATTGCGGCGAGAAAGCTATTATTAATCCAGTCGACCGAGTGGTAACCTCCCAATACTTCCAAATGTGTAAGAGATGCCGGCCACTGATTCGCCGCCTGCACATCGAGTTTTTGATACCATTTATGTTGAGAAAGCTTAACCTCGGGGCTCCGGACGAGAAGATTTCATCCCAGAATAATCCTAGTCGATTTCGCTTCTGATCTCGACGTCCTGTAAATTGGGAGCTGCCACATCGCGGAAGGAGGCCAGCACGTCTCCCCCCCCACTCCGTACGCAACACAATCCTCAACCTCCATATCCGATCCATGTGTGGGACAATCTGGCTGAACCGCTCTGCCAGCAGCTTGTAGCAATAGGAGGTGCCCTGGTTGGATCCGCGTAAGGTTGCCGATATGAGACACCCTCCGGAACGCTCTAGGTAAAGTGTGAGGATTTCCTTCGATCCCTCGGCATCAAAGCTGACGTCGAAGAGCGTCCGAAGCTCAGGGGACCCGACAACAACGTCACGAAAGCGGCGAGAAACATGGGACCACGCCCATTCTGATTTAAAATCCGTAGACTTTGAATCTGCGGCGCGACCCTCTTGTCCCGCACTAGAACAGCTACGAGAAGCTCATTTGGAAAAGAAGATATTGTGAGTGTGGATTGAGCGCCAGCCATACCAGGAGGAGAGAGAAACTGCAAGTGGAGGTCATGGCAGCATGAAACAACGTTCAAAGTCGTGCACAGCCACTTTTGTCAAGCTTAAGAAAATCCAACAAAGTATGTCAAACTCAAAAATCTAACAGCGGACAGAATGTTCGTACAATAATAATACATGTAGTGTAGCAATAACGAAGATACCAACCCGGCTGCCACGCGCTATTTGCAGCTCACACGCACGCAGCAGGAAGAGACATACACGTTGCCACGAAGCTATCGCAGACATAGTCCGGAGTCCAGCTATGTAGCCACGCCCGCCCGTGCACCCGGGGCACGAAAGTGAAATACGAGTAAGAAGGAGGCAGGTACGATTGCCAACAACCTGGGTCCCGAATCATCAGGGTAGCGCGAAGAAGGAGACGCCGACGAAGAAGGCGTCTGAACTGCGAGGATGGCTGAGGGCGGCACCCAATCCACACACCGAACGCAACACGGCTCCCTCCAAAACGAGTGCGATCCGCACGCTAACTCCAACCCTACAGCACGCCTATCGAGTCCCTATTCCCGTCCTGGTTCCACCAACTCAGAGGGAGGATTGGGGGAGAGCAAATGGCTGATACAGGTCGACTCCCCACATCTTTCACGAGCGCGACAACGGGAGAAATAACGCAAGAAGGGCCGGGATGTAGCCAGCATACGCGCCAGTCCCCGAGCACAAACACACGTGTATCCGCGCTTCCCGTCTCCTCCAGGCACACGCAGAAAAAGGCGCAAGAAGAGACCAGAAAGGATTGAAGACAGAAGGCGGCACGCACCACTGAATCCCGGAATACCTCCCCTCCCAAAAGAAAAAAGAAAAAAGGGGGAGGAACGATCCCGTAGCGTCAGCAGGAGGTGGGAGGCACGAGCCTGCGGCGTGCGAGTGTTGTCTCTACGTTGAAGGGAATGGTAGGAAAGCAAGAATGCACCCGTAAACGACACGACAGCGGTGCAGTGAGAACGATGACGGCGCATGCAATTGTGCAAGCGGCTCCATAAAGCACGAGCGACAAGAGGTGCGCGGCCAGGGAGTGCATATAGATGATATAGATGCAGCATGTAGTCGATACCCATTCGGCGGATTTGAAGAGGGCAAGGCGACACTCGAGGTCGGCGAGGTAGGAGAGCAGAGTGAGTAGGAGAGGCCGGAGACAATGAGGGACAGAGGGAGCGGGCGGTAGGGCGGCACAGCGCACAGAGGCGGCGCGGACATCCGACAACGGCGCAGTCAGACACAGTCTCGCCTTCACCGCGATGTGCCTCCGTCCGCTCACGCTGTCGCCGAGTATGATATGAGTATTACGCGTCGAGACGGAACATCGGAGAGCAAAGCAACGACACGTCGATGGGATTCGCCCACCGAGCGCGAGGGAGCCAGAAGAGACGGAAGAGAGAGAAAACAAAACAAGGAGGGAGGAAGAAGAAACAAAAAACGCATCGACACCCGCCCACAACCCACGGATTATTGCGCCACTCCAGCGGTAAATCCCCGTACCCAATGAGCTTTCTCCCGAAAACAGCGCGTAGGAGGGCGTCGTCAGGGTTGGGCCCGACTCCTCTTTCCCGTCTCCCTGCCTGTCCCGGACGCGTGCGCGTGGCCGTGTGCATAGCTGTGGTCGAGGAAACCGTGGTCAAGGAGGGACACGGCGGAGAGCGAGGCCGGCAGGTGGGGGCGCGGTAGGGAGATGGACGCGGGGAGCGACGGCAGGGACGGCAACTCCGCCAAAAAAAGCGTCCACGTCCGCGCGGAACACATCAAGAAGCTCCCTCAACAGCGGCGGCGCGCCAAAGTCAAAGTCAAAGCTCGGGCGGCGGAACTCGAACGTCGGCCTAGCGATAGCGAACTCGAACTCGAAGCACGGGAGCTCGGCGGCGAGGCGGGCAGAGACGTAGGAGAGCGGGGAGGAGAAGTCGAGGGAGGCGACGAGGCCTTTGACGTCGCTGAGCCGGGACTTTAGCTTCTCTTTGAACTCGTCGAATTCGAAGTAGTCAAAGTCGAGGGAGAGCGCGGGGGAGAGGTCGAGCGAGGGGAGGTCCGGCAGGTGCGAGTGGACGTCGGCTCGGATCGAGTGTAGCATGTCTAGAGCGGTGGATGCCCATTCGGCGGATTCAAAGAGAGAAAGACGGTGTTCGAGGTCAGCGACTCGGAGGACCAGGAAGCGCAAAGAAGCCAGAGCCTGGGCAGGAGACGCCAGGGACAAGTCCAGCGCTTCGAGGGACAGGGGGAGCGGGCGGCACGGCGGGAGGCGAGGCGGGGCAGCACGCAGGGGCGGCGCGGACATCCAGCGGCGGCGTAGACGGGGCGGGCGGGCAGTGGGGTCGCTGGTGGGCATGGTGTGGAGGGAGATGGTCATTGTTGGGGAATAGGAGGGATCCACAACGTCCCACGTGAAATTTCTTATGGCTCTCTTTCCTTTCGTGTACGTAACCCGGGCCACAACTCTCTTCCGTCCACGTTCATCCCGGCGTTTGCAACGTTCGATGCCTCAGCATATCAAATGCAGAGTATGTTACCAGTCAACCAAAGGGCTAAGACATCCACTGGATCTTTAGACATCACAGCCCGACATCCGACCCGGCCCTGCGGAATCTCCTTCACCCCTTCCAGTATCGGGTCTTCTGGATTAGACTGCCAGGTGCCTACACGGTCAGCTTTTAGCTCAGTGCTCGGTCGCTCGACATACGCCGGCTTACTCTTGACGCGCCGGCCGCCACGGATGTCTACCATCGCGCTCGTGCGCAACGGTTACAGTGTGATTCCAACCACGACGCTTGCCTGCTGGACTCTTCGGTCGTTTGAATGTCTTCGGGATTTCACTGTCGTCCTGGTCAACTCTCGTCAGACTCCACCATAATCTTTTGTTTCGTGATTGCATTTAACTTAGATTGACACATCCAAGGTGTTCACTTCCTGTCCATCATGCCTCCGTGGATGAACGGTAAATTGCCCTGAAATTGTTATCATGAGCCTGCTTGATCAGTAGGGAGACGTGGGTTCGAGTCCCACCGGAGGCGTATTGTTGTTGTGGCAATGTTTTTCTTTCGCGGTCCGATTTTTGTCGTTCAACCTCAGAATTGACCCATTCACGATGCATCTATCACGCCTCCGTGGATGAGCGGTAATCACGTCAGCTTTGTACTGCAGAGCTATCAAGATATATGAGGAGTCGTGGGTTCGAATCCCACCGGAGGCATGCTCATTCTGAGGTGTTTTTCTTTCGTGGTTCGATTTTTGGTCCCTCGTTCAACCCCAGATCTTAGAATTGACCCTGCGGTGTATCCATCATGCTTCCGTGGATGAGCGGTGATCACCTCAGCTTTGTGAAGGGGCATTGCATTTATGAGGAGCCGTGGGTTCGAATCCAACTGGAGGCATGCCCAATCCTCACATGCTTTTTCTTTCGTGGTTGAATTTTTGGTCCCTCATTCAACCTCTAGAATTGACCCGTTCGAAGTATTCATCACGCCTCTGTGGATTAACGGTAAATCACCTCAGCTTTATATACATTGTAGTACCTCTCATTATGAGGAGCCGTGGGTTCGAATCCCGCCGGAGGCATACGGGCTACATAAGCTTTTTTCTTGCGTGTTTGATTTTTGTCGTTCGTTCCACCGTGTATTAACCTGTTCACAACAAGTTCACAGTGCCCATCACGCCTCTGTGGATTAGCGGTAAATCGCCCTGTCATTCTGATCATTGTCATCAATCGTAACAGGAAGCTGTGGGTTCAAATCTCACCGGAGGCATGGCCTTTATCCTGCATCATTTTTCTTTCGTGGTTGATTTTTTGTCGTTCGTTCAACCTTAGATTGACCCGCTCGGAATGCCCATCATGTCTTCGTGCATGAACGGTAAATCACCTCAGTTTCATATGGTACGTATGCATTATACTCGATACACTTTTTCTTTCGTGGTTGATTTGTTGTCGTTCGTTCAACCTTAGATTGACCCGCTCGGAATACCCATCAAGCCTCCGTGGATGAATGGTAAATCACCTCAGTTTCATAATGAATAGGTGTTGAGCTTATGAGGAGTTGTGGGTTCGAACCCCACCGGAGACATGTGTTGTTTGTCGTAAGGTTTTTCTTTCGTGGCTCAATTTTTTGTGGTTCGTTCAACCTTAGATTGGCCTGTTTATAGTGTCTATCATGCTTCTGTGGGTTGGCAGTAAATCGCCCTGTCATTTTGATCATTGTCATCAATCGTAACAGGGAGCCGTGGGTTCGAGTCCCACTGGAGGCATGTCCGATATATGTCCTTTTTCTTTCGTGGTTTGCTTTTTGTTCAACCTTACATTGACCTGCTCGAGGCATCATCCATGCCTCCGTGGATGAGTGGTAAATCACCTCAGCTGATTGGTGGTGAAGGATATTATTCTGAGGAGACGTGGGTTCGAATCCCACCAGAGGCATTATCGACTAAAAACTGTTTTTGTTCCGTCTTTCTTTCAACTTTCAATTTTCTGAATGTCCTGTATTTCATTGAGGTGTTCATCATGCCTCTGTGGATTAGCGGTAGATCGCCTCAGATTTATAGATCTGTGCCTAACTGGTTTATGGGGAGCCGTGGGTTCGAATCCCACCAGAGGCATTCGTATTGTTAAAACTAGTTTTTTTGATTGCAATCGCGAATCATCTGTTTTTAAAATTGTTTCGTTTTCTTCAAATTCATTTTCGTTATGCATCAACCCTAAGCAGTCGGAGCTCAGAGTTGGAATCAACTCAAAAACTACCCATCACACAACTGAACATCGAAGACCGTCACGCCTCCGTGGATCGGCGGTAGATCACCCTGACATTGTACGTTGTCGATATCCCCTCTGCATAGGGAACCGTGGGTTCGACTCCCACCAGAGGCATACAGGAGCTTTAACTTTTTTTTTCACGTTTCGAGAAATCAACTGAATATTACACCTCAGAGTAGAAATCAATTCAACACTCATCACGCCTCCGTGGATCAGTGGTAGATCGCCCTGGCAGAATTTGTCAAAACTGGAACAGTTAACAGGGAGCTGTGGGTTCGAATCCCATTAGAGGCAATACATCCAGATTGTCTTCAATTTTTTTATGATGGAGCGCGCATTGGTTTTTAGTTCCTTCTTTCAACTTTTTAAAATTTCAGTCAACTACCAATAGTCTGTGCCTCCACCAGTACTCATCTTTCAACAGATATCCAACTGCTCAAATAGACTTTTGCTTTTTAAATTTATAGACTACTGCGCTGTCTCATGCCTCTAATTAATTATCAGACTAGCTAGGCTATGAGAAATAAAGGGAATCAAGCCTCTGTGGATGAGTGGTACATCACCTCAGCTTCATTCATATGAGATATATAACTGTTCTCTGAAGTTCTCTGAAGAGTCCTGGGTTCGAATCCCACCGGAGGCATTCGTGCAATTCAATCGGCTTTTTTTCGTGGTTCAATTTTGTCATTCTTTCTACTTTAGATTGACCCATTCACGGTGTTTATTTTTCGCGCCTCCGTGGATGAGCGGTAAATCCCCTCAGCTCAATGATTTTGCAAAATGTTGTACGTGGGTTTTAATCCCACTGGAGACATGGATCCCGATATCGGACTTTGTTGGTAACTAGTTCACTTTATTTTCGATTATAACCACTGCCCAACCTCTTTATTTTGGTGTTTGAAGATCACGATGTGAACTCATACCAACTATCTGGCTCATTATTCTCGGGACATCTGACTGGTTTATTAGTTATTGGTTGAGAACCTAGAGGGAGGGTATCAAGCCTCTGTGGATCGTGGTGGATCACCTCGGAAAAATCAGAATGAATAGAGTACCACTGAGGCGTAGTGGGTTCGATTCCCACCAGAGGCATCGGAGTTTTTGTTGTTTTTTTTTGTTCCTTCTTTCAATTTTCAGAATCTTATTCAATTGTACTGTGCTTTACCCATCTTTCTATGTCAAAAAAAATTCAACCAATGATCTAGTTCCCCAGCATTGGGACATCAACAACACACTTTGTCTGCTTTTGTCGAGACCTGCTCCTACTGCACTGTCTCATGCCTCTAATTAACGTTCAGATACTAGTTAGGTTACGAGGAATGCAAAGGTGTTAAGCCTCTGTAGATCATGGTGATCACCTTAGACAGGTTACAAATCTGCAATTGAATAATCATTGAGGAGCAGTGGGTTCGAATCCCACCAGAGGCATTAGATTTCTTTATATCTGTTTTGTTCCTTCTTTCAATTTTCTGAATCTCACCAACCATTCTGTCTCTTCAATACCCGGCTTCCAGGTTGCGGTGTCAATGTGATATAGAACTCAACCAATAATCTAGAAACAGGTTCCCAACACTACTTTGGTTCCATCAAGTCCTGCTCCTGCTGGGCTGTCTCATGCCTCTAATTAATTTTCAAACCAGTTAGGTTGCGAGGAATATAAGAGTGTTAAGCCTCTGTGGATCATGGTGGATCAATCCTGAATCATAGCAATGGTTTGTCGTAGATTTAAGGGTAGCTGTGGGTTTGATTCCCACTGGAGGCATAGGAATCGGGAGAACATGTTGGTTTTTTGTCCCTTCTCTCAATTTTTCGGAATCTCATTCAACCCTTGCTCACCTTTAGCCAAATGATCCAGATGCTCAACAATGGCCTTGTTTTCATCTCCTGTGGGCTGTCTCATGGTTCTAGTTAATTTTCAGATACTAGTTAGGCTACGGGGATGTAAGGGAGTCATGATTCTAATTCATTTCAGATACTTGTTAGGCTATGGCCAATATAAGGAAATCAGGCCTCTGCGGATCATGGTGGATCAGCTCCGAGTCATCATATCTGGGGAAATGGATTTAAGGGTAGCTGTGTTCGATTCCCACCGGAGGCATGGGTTTGAACCTCGATTTTTCTTTGGTAACTGATTCACTCTATTTCAACCGTAATTTAAGATCATGATGTGAACACACCAAATCTTTACTTTCTGGCTCATTATTTCCAGGATACTTGATAGGTTTATTGTTTATTGGTTGAGAATCCAGAGGGAGGGTACATCAATATCCGCTGGCTCGATGCCGGCGTGGGACGGCAGGGACCCAGGCGGTGAACGAGGTACTCGCTGCTCAACTTCCTGCGTACAGATAATATTTCTTTATAACATTACTGGTGTCGTCCAGAAGTCTTTCAAGCTCAGCCTTTAGCCAGTATCCAGAGCTTTGGAGGTGCAAGTCAAAGCGTTAAATCGGCGCCAACGCGAAGTACATAGCGTGCTCCTGCATGTTTATGATTGAACAATTCTACACGGAAAGCAGCTCTCAATTAGGGCGCAAACTTTGAGCGGCAAGTCTTCATTGAATATCTCCTCGCCAATGTCCCAATTCTTTCTGATATGCAAGGTCAAACTATCCATTGCTCGAGCTCGAAGTTTGGAATATCTGTTTGGCGGTCTTTCTCTGCGTGTTCCTTTTGGGTTGAACTTGTACACCATTGACGATCCAACACGCCGTACCTCAAGCCGAGCTGCAAGGTCATTTTATTTATTACAACCGTTTCCGGTTCGTGATAGTGGATCTAGAGACAGTTAACTGGGACGACTCGAAGTCGTTGATCTTTCGAGCGTGGTGGGTCCGATCTGTTTATATTTATCTATGTGACTAGTTTGAATCCGACTCTCTCTCTGCTTCTTCAGACAAACAAGTGCAGATATGACCCACCTGCTGGAATATGATCTGAGAACTAAGTATGTATTCTCAACCGAATCAACACTGTCGTAATTTCGCTTGACGAATTGAACTGCCAGGTCCAACTTGACATACAGTCGACTGTAAAAATTCGGCTGATCCCCGCCAGGCCTTGGGTTCCCGTAGGAAAGCCGAGCTTGGTTACAAGCTCGGGTATTACTTTGTACCGACTAATTCCCAGGTGTATCTGTCATCGCTAACCTCTAAGTTGACAGGATCCCAACGCTAACCCGATGCCGGAGCAAACATCGTCCAACAGACCAAAAAGCGCTTCCGGCCAAGCCGGTGATTACTGATTGTATCCCCATCTTGAGTCTTGTTCCATTCTTCGCATGTTCAGCCCCACGGATATGGTGAAAGACGTCTTGGCATCGTTTTCGGTGGTACTATTTGATGTCAGTGCCCAGTGCTCGTTCTCATCTATGTCTTTTTCTCCGTCCCGGTGGCAGGGTAGGTTTGAGTCCTTTTGGACGCTTTTTTTTGATCCACGACAAATAATTCCTGCCTCGGATTTAATTCATCCATCTTTCTGATGTGTAACCGGAGTCTTCGTCGGCTAAAGCGGTTCCAAAAAGGTCAGTTTCATAACCAATCGGATTTAATTCGACCATTGAACTCCGTGTGTGCCCACCCAGCACGGAGAATTGCAGGGATGAATAATATTATCAAGCAGAGCTGTATTAGTAATGAACTAAGGATCTGATTGTCCCGCGTCCACCGGTTTGCCGTCAATGTTGTATTAACTTCTTCGCTCTTTTTTTTCGAGTTTGGTATTAAATATGCGTTCCTCCGAGTCTTGCCGCATGGGTCTTTTAATGAATAGAGCTACATCTGACTTGGGTCAGTCCTCACGAAACGCGGCTACTATGCTGGGGCCGATGTATTATGAACCAATCAGGTATTTCTCCGGATCCAGGGAAATGCTAGCTAGATATATTGAAGATTGGAGTGAGACGTCGGAGATAGGCTCCTCCAGCTCCCGGATGAACGTAATTTCAGTTGTTTAAAACCCAAAGGGTGCAGGTCGAATGCTCACCACGAGTACTCTGAGTCACCATGGCCTGGCTCAGTTCTCTTCTTCTTCTGACACTCGGAATCACCCGATGTTCAAGTGCTATACTGGAGAGTACCACAGATCTGGACCAGTTGAACCTCGAGTTCGACTTCATTATCGTCGGAGGCATGGACTTTACTCTGACCATCTAATACAGATACTGATTTCTACCTTTGTGAAGGTGGGACAGCGGGGAACGTGGTGGCAAATCGCCTTTCCGAAAATCCTGACCACTCGGTTTTGGTGTTGGAAGCAGGGGGCTCGTAAGATATCCGTCTTAATTATGTGGATTTTACTTTACTTTTTGAACATAGAAATGCCGATGTTTTGGATATCATAGTACCCTTCTACTGCAGTCGAGCAACACCAAATACCCGCAAGACTGGAATTTCACGACAACCCCTCAGGCTGGTTTGAATGGCCGTTCAATAGCGTACAATCGCGGATTCGTTCTTGGGGCAGCAGTTCTGTCAGTAAGTAAGTCCAAGAATGTTGTGTTCAACTCTCTCACGGGCGTAATTTCAGATTATATGGTGTACACCCGCGGCTCGAAAGAAGACTTTGACCGGTGGGCCAAGGTCACTGGAGACGATGGCTGGTCCTGGGACAATCTTGTTCCGTACATGAAAAAGGTAATTTTAAAACTCGTTGATTCCGACCTCAAAGTCCTAACGCAGGAATTATAGAACGAACGTTTTAGCTCGCCGTCAGACCACCACAACACCACTGGACAATTTAACCCCGACGTACATGGATTTCACGGAGTCAACAGCGTGTCTCTTGCTGCTTCCCAAGCCCGGTGGACTCCAGGGTCATCGAGACCACGACGGAACTTGGGGAATACCCCTTTAACCTCGATATGAACTCTGGTTATCAGCTCGGAATTGGTGCGCACAATTGACAACTTGGATGCGTTAAATACTAATTTATTTTAGGCTGGGGACAAGCGACCATAAAGAACGGGTCAAGGAGTAGCTCGGCGACATCCTATCTGGCTCCGCAATTTGTTGCGCGTCCAAATTGCATGTTCTATTGCATGCCAGAGTGACGCGCGTTCTCCCAACTACTTCCAACACATTTCGTACGGTTGAATTTGTCCAGGTCCCGAGGTATGGATGAGAGAAAAAACTATAGCAGCATTCTGAGTTCACTCAGGGAAACGATTGACATTGACTGCAAAAAAAGAGATAATTCTCTCGGCGGGTAGCATTGGCACTCCGAATATACTGTTGCATTCAGGCATCGGCAACTCTTCAACGCTGACTCGCTCGGTATTAAACCTGTGCACAACCTTCCTTCAGTTGGTCAAAACCTCAGCGACCATTCTCTCGTTTTCTTTTCATTCCTTGTCAACTCGAACGACACCTACGAGACTGCGGAGCGTAACGCCACTTTGGCAGCAGAGCAGTTCGCACAGTGGAATACCAGCCGAATGGGTCCCTCGTCGACAATCCATTAAGTCATATGGGGTGGTTGCGCATTCCCGATAATTCATCCATCTTCGAGAATTTCCCCGATCCTGCAGCGGGCCCGAACACATCACATTATGAACTCATTATCTCAAATGGGATGCTCGCTTCTCCACCTCCGGGAAACTTCCTTAGTGTAACTCCCGCTGTGGTTTCTCCTGCTTCTCGTAGG